GCATTGTTGTATATGCAGTCCACTGTTGACCGAAACGTCATTGTGTGGAGCATGACTGTATACATATAAATACACAAATAACTGATAAAACACATGTGATCATACCTTATTCATTTGTGTACCTGTCACAGAAATTTTTATTTCATAGACTCTCAAATTTATGTTTATAGAGTTGTACCAAGTTAAATATGTCTTATGCTTATGGTTCTTCAGTCCTCTGACGTAATATTCTTTTTTTGGTGAGAAAGATTTGCCCTGAGCAAGTGTCTGCTGCCCATCTTCCCCCCCTTTTTTTTTTCCCAGTTGAGGAAGATTAACCCTGAGCTAAGATCTGTGTGAATCTTCCTCTACTTTGTATGTGGGATGCCTCCACAGCATGGCTGACAAGTGGAGCAGATCCGCACCCAGGATCCAAACCCTCAAACCCCAGGCTGCTGAGGCAGCGTGCGTGGAACTTTAACCACTCGGCCACAGGGCCACCCCTGACTTAATATTCTTAAAGCAGTCCTAAGGGGAAATAAAAGGTCACCTGACATTTAGGTATGGAAACACAAACACAAATGTATTTCACTTTCCCAGATTCAGGTCTGCTGTCATCTCCCAGTCACATTCATTTATTCAATATGCCTTTATTGAAGACCTGCAGTGTGAAAGACACCATGCTAGTAGTTTTAGGAAGTCAAAGATCAATCGATCAACTCGTCCCAGTTTGCCTGGGACTTATGTTACTGCTATTCTCACATGCCTTGTCATAGGGTAAAGCATGCAGTATACAAAAATGGTGTGAAGTAGAAGTGACGTGTGCCTTGAGAAGGGTATGGATCACATGCACTGAGAATTCACAACTTGAAGAGATCACTACTTCAACTTCATGAGGTCAGGAAGGAGAGAGCATTCAAACTGGACCACAGTGTCAATAGATTGATTTGTGGAGTTTCTGAAGAATAAGCAGGAGGTGGTAAAATCTGGGGTAAAGGTGGGGAGATGGGGACCTGGACACAGCAGTTCAGCTCTGCTGGAGCCTGAAAAAGGAAGTGTGCACTCAAGTGCCGGGTTTGTCCAGGACTGAGGGGGTTCCAGGATATGGAACTTTGAGTGCCAAAGCCGGGAAAGTCCCTGGCAAATCAGATGAGTTGGTCATTCCTAGTGTGCATTCAGGTGTAGGGCCTAATGACTGATTATTGAGGGGTATTAGCTAATTGAAGATATTTAGCTGTGACATAAAAAAAAGTCAGTACTTGGATAAAGTTTACATTTTTAACCACAATCACTTCCCTTATTTTAGGCTAGATCTATCTCTTTAAAGTTGTTCTCTCTCTCTCTCCTTTTAAATTTCAGCACTTTCAAGTGCTAGCCTTCATTTCTTCAGTTATCAGAATCAGATAAAGTATATTGAGGTCGCTCTAGCTTCCTCTGCAAGAGAGAGAGCTTAGCAAGTTAGCTATCCAATTCAACCACAGAATTTGTAATTGGAGAACTGAGTTCGGATCTCTTTATTCAGTTTGACCTTGAGCGAGTCACTGTCCCTCTGAGCCTTGGAGTCTTTTGTATTTATGATTGAATTTAAGATATTAAACTTTAGGAAATGTTAGGCAGCTAAGTGTCTACTCGAAAGTGCCCATGTATCCCCTAAAATGAATGCAGGATTAAGACTAGTTTAGAAATTGGTAAGCTGGGTGTCAAGGTAGGTAGTAGGCCTAGTGGGAAGGTCCACATATGACAGTGGCAAGAACAGAGAGAGAGTAATAGAATGGAGTTACCCACTGAACTTCCACACCAGCAGAGGAAGAAAAAGATCAGAGTCCTTGCAAAAGGCAGTAGAGAAAGCGATCATCTACAATTTAGGACAGCTGTCACAGACTCAAGGGGATGGGTGATTCAAAATAGTCGTACTTGGACTTTCCATCCCTCTCTTATTAAGGACAGTAACTATGTATGGCATTGGCCACCAGGGATGGTACATAGGCACAGCCTCTTTATAAGTTAGTTTTTAAAATGTCTTCTTGTAAACGTAGCAAAGATTAGAAAACAGGTAAAACAAAGGTAGATTAAATGAATTATAACCTGTCTGCCTAGTAAAACCACTACCCAGATCAGGAGTTAGAACTTTGTTAGCCTCACTGAAACTTTCTTGTGGCCCCTCCTAATCACAGCCCCTTCCGCCCCCCGCTAAAAAGTAACCACCATCTTGACTTTTTTGGTAATCATTTTCGTACATTTATTTATAATTTTACCATCCAAATGATGTGCATACCTAAAATAGAGTTTAGTAATTCCCGTTTTTAAGTGATGCTAAGGTCTCCTCTCATCTATAGACTTCTCCCCATCATCTCTCACTCTCTCTCTTTCTTCCCTTGTCTCCTTCCTTTTTCCCTCTCTCAGAAACTGGAATATGTATCTATCTATGTCTGAATTTGGCTGATTGCATCTCTATGGAATAGTTGAATTTGCTCCTCTTTCCTCTGCACTCCCTGTAATTTGCTGAGTTTTGGAAAGGCTGTTTCAAGAGTGGTGTCATGTTCTTCTATCAGGTGGTACATATTGTCCAGTATCTCTTGTGTGTGTGTGTGTGTGTGTGTGTGTGTATGTGTGTGTGTGATATTAGCAGCCATTAATCCTCAGGACCTAGATCCATTAATTAATTAAGGATTGCTGGCATGGGCATGTTCTAGCATTCCTTCTTCATTTATTAGCTGAAATACTTCTATAAAGAGAAACTCCATCTTGTCGTCTCTTCAGTTACTCAGTGGTACAGTTTATACAGGAAAAGCTAGATTCCTTCCTTTCATTCACCTCTCACTTAGCTCTTTCGTTTGTCATCTAGATCTTGATGAACATGAGTCCTATTTTAAATGCCACTGCCTTTGGGGGGAATAAACTAACACAAATTACTAACCAATTAATATTGATTTTATTTACTGGAAAAAAAAAGACTAAAAATTTAAAGGCAACTTTTTAAAAAAAAACTATATCTTGAAATACATACCAAATGTATGTTTTTACACTTTGTTGAATTTTTTTCCAAGGATATTTGGAAAGATAATCATCTATTCTCTGCTTATTTTTAATCCATATTTTCCCATCGTATTACTGCCCAAGGCAGATAATATCTAATTCATTTGTATTTCTAAAACACTGTTCAGGCTAATTCATTTGTCCCTATCTACTTAAAACTTTATATTCTAATACAAGATTTTGCAGTTTAGTCATTGGAAAACTTAATTCTCATAGTCTAATTAAATTTAGAGAACTTTGGAATTATGGGTCTCCCTCTTTCAAATCACCCTTCAATTCTATGGGATGAGCACATTACTAGCAGAAGATGGAATCTTTCCAGAGTCTATGAGCCGAGGGCAGCATTTGATAAATTACTGGAGAAGGTGCCTTTGCTTCCTAAGAAAGAAACCAAAGAACCAGGGGGACTAGTAATGAATACAGAAAACAACCAAGAGAAATTGCTGAAAGAGTAACTTCCATTTGAAATTGCTTACTTCACTGGAATGTTCATTCTTTAGTTTTTGATGAGTACAACTATTTTTTAAAGCTATGATTGTTTAATTTTTCTTTAAAAGCGAACTATAAAATATTATAGTTCCAATAAGCAACTATAGCTTTAATTATTAAGTCTCCTACTTAGCTTCCAAAACCTGCTGCATGGAGAAGTTTTATCTGTGGAGGAAGCAAGCACTTTAATTGATAGATGAGTGAACCATCCTTGCCTTACTGCATTCAGATTCCTTAATCTGACTTTTTAAAGGACAGAATTTAAACATCTGAGAATCATTAATTCTTTCACAGCTAAGCAAAACAGAATCCTTCCAAGAAACAGACAATGCTTGCTTTGAGGATGGGAACTCTAGCGTAAGAACACTTCAAGGGAAGTGATGTAGACACTCAGAGAAAATTAAAATTTTAAAAACCATCAAGCATGTATATTTTACAACTGCACCTAAGGAGATTGCTTCTGTTTGTGACCACCATTGATTTTCATAGAGGTCCCCTCAAATACCTCTTGGAAAACATTCTGTCCATAAAGGAATCAAAATAATTAATATCTACTCCAAATGGTTTCCAATTTGCAGTAGGTCCTGGTGAACTTGGTTCACGTGTGTTGTTCCCAATTACGGTGCCACTTTCATGTAGGTCTCTCAGCTTGGCTTTGATCCAGGCTGTTAGGTGAAATTAGGCCCAGAAAATCGGATTATTACCTCCCAAGGGAAATGACTGATAAGCAGCAGATGATTGCTCATCTCCTTGCTACTTGCTGGTGTTGAAGTGTTGCTAGTTGCAAAGTCAATTTGTCAACAATTAGTACTCGTTAGAATTTCCTGTTATCAATTCTAAACATCTGACAAAGCACTTTTAGGAAATTGGACCCCAAAAAGTATCTATACCTAAGTATTGAGCAATTAAAAGTCTTCAAGACCCAATGTAATTCCTAACCAAAGTCATCAGTTTCCAGGTAATTATTTTTGCTTTGGAACCACTAGCTATCCTGTCCAGTTTAAAGATGTGCTGGAACAAGCAAATACTTCTTAATTAGCAGGGGTTGTGGATAAGTCAGTATAGGAGCAAAAGGAATTTTCTTTCATTATCTGCTTTCGCTGTTTGTAGTTTGTATCTTTAAGGGACAAAAATCGCTGTTTGTATCTTTAAGGGACAAACATTTTCAACTTGCAATACAATATATTTGTGAGAGTGTGAAATTAAATGCATTGCTTCTATTATCTAAACATCTAAGCTTAATTTTTTAAGTCTATGCTCACCTTTGTACATTGTGAACTCTAAATATAGAATCATAAATGGAGTCATTGTGCGTTACATTAGAATTTAAATATTGCCAATGTCAGCTTTCTGAAATATTATATATGACTTTAATAAAATTAGCATACATACTATATGCATTTGAAATTTTTCTAAGAAAAGGCATTGTATTTATCTAATTTTTAAATATAGATCTGCATTCATTACAAATTTATATTTAATAGATATTCCCTTATTACTGAATAAAATATTTATTATCTGTACAGTATCATCTGCTCATACTGGCTTAAATGTTCTTTATTTAGACTAAGAAAATAAGTCTTATTTCCTTTCTAGTAAGTAATGGTCTTTACACATGAACTATTCAGTCATTTTTGTAGGATCATAATTAAAACTCTGAATGATACCCCTCATTTTCTGTTCCTGTCCCACGTCACTCCCCAAATTTTCTTTTGCTTCTATGTTTATTTTATAAATTTAAGTAATTGCTCTTATTTGTCTTCCCCTAGACTTAATAATGCTGAAAATATTTCTTCTAATTGTTGCAAAACATGGAGATGTGAACTAAGTATATTTCTGTTGCTAAATTTCTTATTCCTATATTAAAAGCTTACATCAATGGAGAAATTAAGTGTATGTTCTTTTTTGAAATGCCCTATGCTCACCCTTCTATCCTTAATAAACAGAGATGGTATTGACACAAGTGAATTTTGTTTAACCACACTACATTTGCTTCTTAATTAGTGAATATTCATCTGTCATCAGCAGCAGCTATGACACCCCTCCCTGCTAACATGTTCTGTCATAAATAATCAATGAGGCACTATTAATATTCATGAGCTGGAATCTGTGTAGTCATGTGCACTGATGCAGAGACAGGGGGAGTGTTGCCATGAACTGACTGGAAACTCTGTGTGTGTATCCGTGAGTGCAAGATACTTAGGGAAAGCGAAGAAGAGCATGCTGCTACACACCAGCCTGGCTTGTGCTTCCAGCTAACAGCGGTTTGTCTGTGTTTCTGGACTGAAGTGACTGATGAAAAACAGTAGTCAAGTCTGGAGGGTGATTCCTTTTCAGTTCACTTGCCTTTTAGTTCTGGGGAAATTAGAAGATTTGCTCTCTCTCTCTGCTTCTTAGAATGGGCTGCAATTTGTGCACTTTTCAGAAAAGAGAGGAACACTACAAACTGCTGTATGAAGTTTCCCAGGTGAGTGCAGGGTCTGAGACCAGCAACCAAACAGCCAGGCTTTGTGTTTGTCTGAAAGACGGTAACTGAATTGTGGCTAGCTTTATTTTTTCTTTCAGTAGATCTCAGAATTGAGGACAGACTTGCCGGTTGGGGGCTTTTTATTTTGGTTTTGGGTGGCAGTTTTTACCTTCCTTGCCACTCCCCCTTCAGATGACTTCCTGTGGGATTCTTTTTAACATTTTTTGTATCTACTGCCAAGATGTCAGTCAAGTAAAAGACTAGTACTGAGATCCATGTCTGTAATATCTTGAGATACCTCTTTCGTTTTGGAATAGTCTTGACATTTGAAAATCAAATGTATCATTGTCTGCATAAATATTAGGATTTAATAGGTCTGTGATCTCAGTTATTTTGAATAGACAGGAAAAGTTTCTTGCCAAATCTTGTTAGCCAGAAGAATTATTTGATTAATTAGGAATTTTTGCTTTGGTTTAAGAGGAAGACCTGGTATATTTGTATTATATGAGAAAAAAATTTATGCTATGTCTTGGCTTAAGAAGGAGATAAAGGAATTTTCTTATCACTTGTTCTTAGCTCCTTTTTATAATTTTTTGTCTGTTTACTACTGGAAATTAATTTCCCGAGCTTATTACCATATCTGTATGTGTCCTAGGAAAAAGTGTGTAAATTCAGATGTCTCTTTAATGTATGTCTGAGGGCTTTCAGAATAAAAATAAGAAAATGATATCCCTAGCCTTTGTAATTTTTATAGAATTCCATTAATTCACCATTTTATTTAGGCAGGTTTCCCTGGGGCTATATGCTCAAGTACAAATTTCTTGTTTGGCAAAATAAAGTTTATTCCTCCCTTTTTCCAGTTTGTCCCAGATGTGTCACACTACTACTTTTGTTTTTAGACAATATTGCTGATGAAAGACAATGTTTGGGATGTTGATGGTCTGTGGGCACAGCAGTAGCCAAGTGCCCACTGCCTACTGGTTCCCTCAGATTTCCCCCTGACGTGATTCATTTCACAGTGGGCTAATTACAAAGTGGATTTGCTACACATGAAACAGCCTCCTCAGTTGCAATGTTAATGCACATTTTCATGGTAATGTGATCAGAGGCTCATTAGCCAGTTTCCAAAATGATCCTCTGCATTAATTAAATATAAAAATGACTCCTTTATCACCATAGAGAGGAAAAAGAAAATTAACATTGTTAATTACACCAGGGGCAATACCTTTTGCTTTCTTTTTTACTGCAAACTTGCAAGGATAGGCTAAAATAATCTTCATTTCCCAGATAAGCTCTCATCCACTTTGACTCATGAAAACAGTCTCTAGGTGGAACACTTTCCTTTAGTTTGGTTTGTTGGAGTTTGAGTTCTGGTACTGGTTTTCTTTGGGTGATGGAGGAGCAGCGGAGTAGATGAATCAATCTATTTTTTCTCTGAATTACTAAATTGATATAAAAGTATGATATGGAGGAAGTGGCATCCTCCCTCACTATTCCTGGGTTAAGCTGTTTATGTTCTACTAAGAAATCATGCCAGGATTGCTGCATGGAGAAGGGACCCCTGTGTTTGTTAAGGGGCAGGCGCCTTTGTTGTGGATTTTCAAAATGCTTGTCTGTGAGTTTTGCCTTTAAGTGCTGCTAAATCTTGAGAGAATAGATAAGCCATACTCTTTATTGCCTCCACCTGTACTCCTTCATATATTTATTTTACTTCCTCTACTCCTGGGTTGCAGTACTTATGATCTTTAATAAAGGAGGTGAAGAATGAAGTATTGGCTTCCATTTAACTGGCTTTTATGAGATAAGTTAAAACCCCAGCTTAAAGGTCTTGCATGTGTTTTCCAAGGGGAGCCCTCCTCCGGTTTGTCCCCAGCTTTGCGTTCTATTTTATTGAGTTAATGGAATAGATAAGATATCAAAGGAAACCAGGGATAGACTCATATAATACACTGGAGCCTCGTGTGGTGCCGCAAACTAGTTTCTATTTTTATTTGGAGGAGAGGCAGCTCAGAGCATACATGAAAGTAAGCATGTTCTTAACCAGGTGTTCGTGAGGGCACATAGCTGCCCCCATAAGAGAGGATACTATTTACAAAAGTGACTTGAGATCAGAAGCCTGAGTATTTCTAAGCTGGTATAGTAAAATAAATTAGCTCATGCAAACATTAGCATCTGATTGTCCAAATCATATTTATTTACAGACTTGTAATTCTCAGATCAACTGCCTTTTGGTTTCTTTTGTTTTTATTTCTTAAAAGCTAATGCAAATTGAAGTTTACCTGGAGATGTGATCATTTAAGATTAGCAGTGAATACTCAATGCATGACCAAGAACAAAATGTTTATTTCTCTATTATAGAAGCATTATGTTATTGAACTTTTTCACATTCTCTTTCTAGATTTCTAGATTTAGCGATCTTACAATATGGGCCAAGTAGAATACAGTTTCAGGCTTACAACTGCAGTACCCAAAAGCAAATGTGCTCACTGAGGAATCTAGTGAAACGATCAGAATGATATGCTTAGGTGTGAAATGAGTTAAGTTTATATTTTGTTGGTACTTTTTTCTCCTAGAGAGGAGCTAAGTCTTTCAATTGGCAGAAGAGAGGGAATGTCGCCTCGAGAAAATTATTTTCAGCTGGAGTTGGGCCAATCAGGCTCCAGTATGAACACAGATGCAAGAATCTAGGGTTTGGGTAGATCCAGTAACCTTCACGGCAAGCAGTTTTCATGTGTCTTTATGCGTCTATTAACTTTCCTATGTGCCAGACACAATTGTTATCTGCAGTGATTTATTTTATTCAAAGTATGTTATTTATTAACCTCTTAAGAATTAATAAATGGCTAATTTGAACAATGCCCTTCTATTGACACGAACTGAATTGCCCATTTCATATTAATCTGATTAAATAGCCAGCTGGACCAAAAGAGCTGTAGTAGCTTGTTGGGCATTTCTGACCTAATAACAGATTTATTTCTGAGCAAGATTGTATGGTAATACCTAAATCTGTTGACTTCTTAGTTTGATTTTTCATCCATAAATCAAATGTAACTTTTTGATTGATTAAATAATAGAATTATCAATGGGGTGTTCATTGGTGTTGGACAGTGTGTTCAAATTGTGGGCAAATATTTCAAACTTCACACTTGTTAACATAAAACTGTTTATGAGATTTCATTATAATTTTATAATGTGATATTCAAGATTCTTCTCTTACTCACTGCCAAATTAGAGAAAAGAAATGGGCTTCAATCTCAGGAAAACCAGAAGTAGAATAGTGCTAGCTCTCCAGGCAATGTCACCAATGTGACTGCTGTCCTCTTCTAAGTGGATACTGTTTCAAAACACAGAGTTGATTTATCCATTTGACTGGTTTGGCACAGCTCAAAGGTTTCCCACAACCTGGGTCCATGAATTGGTATCAGAAACTGAAACAGAACCCACATTGAAAGTAACAACAATCACAGTACTGCTCGTGACTGACGTGAGCGCTTTATTCTAGGCCCTGTGCTAAGCACTTTTTCCCTAAGCATTGTCTCATTTAATCCCCACAAAAACCCAACAGGAGTTACAGGATAGCATCCCGTAATTTTTAAGTATGTTCAAGGCTCCTTTATTCTTCAGTGAGTTTCTTGAGTCTTGCGTAATCTCCCTTCTCTAGTTACTCTCCCATATCCCTCAGAAATCTATTTTGTCTGATATTGTGTAAACCCGCCTCATAATGTCTTACCCTCTTTACCCAAATGGCATCCTCTTCCCACACTCCTTAGCGCTACTGAAGATCTCACCATCCTTCTTGCTATCAATAAAACACAAAAACACTAAATTACAATGGACGCTTCTGTCTTCATCATCCACACAATAACCTTCTGGTTATTTTACTTTTGCACATTCTCCAGCATCAATCCCTGCCTTCCTACAATCACAATTACTTTTATTAACTCTCTGACATCATGGTAACAACTTTTCCACTTAGAAATTGTCAGCATGCCAGTCCACCCTGATTGCTCTTGCTGGAATAGTATTTCTAGGAAGTATTCAGTGGCTCCCAATTACTATAAAATGAAGTAAAACTTCCTCTTCCAGTATATTCAAGGATCTCCTGAGTTGTTTCTGGGTTCCTTTCCTGCTTTTTCTCTCGCTGATCTTCCCCTAATGCAATTAGTAATCTCTCCAGACCAGTCTTTTTGCTTTTCTCTTTAAGTTTTGGCTTCCCAACTTGGACCCTTGTAACTTAGTTCTTTGTCTTCAGCCTCTGTGGAACGCCCTCTATATCCACCCCTATCACTGTCTACTTTGTTCCTTCACTAGATTTACAAAGCCTGCCCCTTTGGCTCAAATGTCTCCATGAGCAGAGAGATTTTTGCAATTACTGATTTTAAAAAATTGATCTCTTCCCAACTTGGAACTCTCGTACCATTTTCCTTGGAATGTTTAGAGTTCGTTTTTCATGTTCATCTGTTTGGAATTATGGTCAATTGTGTGAGACTGAATTGTGAGCTCCTTGAAGGCAAGTCAGGTACTTGATTGCCCTTTAACCCCGACTGTGCCAGCAGGCATTCTGTAAGACCCACCACGATGCCTCACATGTCCACAGCCTCTTCAGAGTAAACTACCGTCATCCATAGCTTCTGGTGAAGGACCATATCACTCTGCCTTCCTCTCTACCCCATAGCTAACAGCTGATTAAACTAGGGCCAGTCACCTGGTACATGAAGTTGAAGGAGTGATTAGATTTTTTCTGTCTCAGAAACTTATACTGGGAAACAAACCATTGATAATGGGATTAGAATGCAAAGGAATGCAGAGAGAGAGAGGAGGCTTTAAGAGGAACTGAGCGCTTGGGGATCTGTGGTCCACCAAATCTATGAGGATCAGAACTACCGAGAGATTCAGAGACAACTGAGAAATAAAGCATGTGAGTCATGGGAAAGAGAAGCATGAAGAACAAATAGCAAGTCTTGAGAGTGGCCTCCTTTTCCCAGCTCCAGTACATTTCT